CATCCTTGGCGGCAGTACCACATCCAAAGGACAGATGCTTGGATGGGTGGGGAATGAATAAAGCAGATGTTGACATGGAGAGATCTAAAATACCCCAGGCTCTGGCATGCCTTCTTTGGGGGTGCCCTGCACCCGGGGGCGAGGGGAGCAGCCAGCCCTGCTGTCCTGCCAGCGCAGTAGCTCTGTGCAGGGGCAGTTCCTGGCAGCACGACCCGTGTAACGAGGAAGAAGAACTGACCGTTGCTTTCATTCTTCTCCTTTCTTCCACCTTCAAGCTGAGGGAGGAGTTTGACCGCGGACTGGATGTCTTCTTGGATGAGCATCAAAGCGTTCACGATGTGGCCGCTCTGCTCAAAGAGTTCCTTCGGGACATGCCGGATTCGCTGATTCCCAGAGAGCTGTACGCAGCCTTCCTCAGCACGGCCTGTGAGTACCTGGGCTGCGGCGGTCTCGCTCTGCGCGGGCCACCCACCGTGCTCGGTTTTCTAAGGGGAAAAAAAAGGCGATTTTCTTCTTGTGCAATTTCCTGGCTCAGTGCCGGCTCCCGGCACAATTCGGTGTTGGCGCCGGCTGCAAGGGCGGCTCTGCAAATGCTCTGCCCAGGTCCCCCTGACCCCCATCTTTTGGGTGACTGAGCTTTTCAGCAGCCTCTGCTGCTTCCAGCATCTCTCCCGTGGTCTCCTTCACCACCTCTTTGCTGCCCTTTTGCCATCCCTTTCAGACTCGATTCTTCAAATCCAGATCCTCAGATCCCTGCTTCCACATCCAACGTGCAGTTGTTGCAGCCCGTGCTGGGCTGGTTGGGGCTTTTTTGGTAATTGGGTTATAAACCCCCGGGCTGAGGGCAGGCTTTGACTACGGGGCTGTGCAACACCAAACGCAATCACGCCGCAGCCCTTGCTGGGGTCTCCCAGAGCGCTTATCCCTGCGCGGAGGGGGTGAAGGGTCCGGCTCCCTCCAGAGCTCGTTACCGTGGGTGTAAACGAGGGCTGTCCAGCTGGAAGCGCCTAGCGGGCTGGGGACCGCGCTAATTAACGAGCTGCTCTCTGCCCAGCCATGGAGGGCCCGGCGCAGCTGGCCGCCCTGCAGCTCCTGCTCTTCCTGCTGCCCCCCCGCCACAGCGGCA